GTTTTTGGCAGCCACTCAAGTTATGTGCAGCGCGAGGACACAAATAATTTAACTAATACACAAGCAAAGTACTCTTCCCATTAGGCAGATAAATAGACAGATAACAAATACAGATACAAGCAGCAAGAAGTGACCAGTGAAAGAGGTGGAAATCCCTGTGAGGAAAATATGAGCAAGTAAAATAAATTTCTGATGCAGAAGTAATTGGTAGAGAGTTAGGTTATGTTGCTTTAGCGCTATCGAAAAAAGTCAATGAGATACAGAATATAGTCTCGAGCCACGTCGTCGTCGACTTTGTTCGAAAGCAGCTTACGGGGCAATTGTGGCAACTGTCTTTCGAAAGACAAAAGTAATTTCGAAAAACTAATTGAAAGATCAGCTAACAAGAAGGTCTCAGCGTTTTTTCGGTATATCTTTTAGCAATAAGTTTTCTAAAAACTAAATGAAATTAAAATATACATATGGGTAATTCCATGCAAAATTTACACCACAATATTTTGTTTTTGTGGAACATATTTGTTTAACATTCTTTATTGATAAAAGATACAGCTATTTTTTATTTTTTATTTTTAACTCACTGAGAAGGATGTCTTTTAATATTTTTTTTGCAGTTTGCGTAATTACCTCGTCTTTCCATTAGAGGTGTGAGAGAGATTTAAATAAATAATTTTTTGAATAAAAAAACATATTTTTTCTATCTTATTTAATAAGTTTTTTTATTAGCACTGCCTTTTTGCACGCAGGCATGAACAAATTCGTTACCTCTACGGTTTTGGTTTTTCCATTCTCAAATTTTTACAGTGTACTCAGCAATGTTCGACAACTATTTAGGTTGCAAAAACATAAATCAAACGGTGTAAAAAATTATTTATTTAAATCTATCTCTAACGGAAAGCCGAAGTAATTGCGCAAACTCCAAAATAATTAAAAAAGATACTTCTCAGTTTAAGTTTAAGTTTAAAATTTCGGATTTTTTCCGAGATTTTCGAATATCATGATGAAATAAAAAATAGGTAAATTTTACACGGAATCAGGCCTAAATATTTTTTAAAACAAAAGCTAGAAACTAAAAGAAAATTTAATAAATAAATAAGTTTCTAAAAATGAAATGAAATTTAAAAATAAAAGTTTTTCCTTTTAAAACAATATAATCTAAAAACTAAATCAAAAAGAGAAACAAATTAATAAAAAAATAAGTTCCTAAAAATTAAATGAAACTAAAAACCAAACAATAAAATCTAAAAATTTGTAAACAAGTTCTAAGTTAAAAAACCCCGACAAAGTTTATTAAAAGGCAAGAAAAAAAATCTAAAAATTAAACGAAATTAAAAAAAATCTATATATATATATTATTTTAATTACTATATTCATTTAAAACAATAAAATCTAAATACTAAATTAAAAGAAAGAAGAAAAATAAATAATAAAAACTTTTTAATATACAACGCTTTTATAAATGGACTAAAAAGTAGAAAATAATAATACTGAGTCCCATAGAATTTGTTTTGATTCCTTTTGATGTTGAAATTTTAGCAAAAGTCATTATAAACAATTTATGAGATTGAAAATAAAAGCGTGGGGCGCATGCATGCATGCATGTAGATTTAATTGACAGTAGTCAAACTACATAACATAGACTTAAAATTTCTACAGAGAAAGTGCAAATTTGAAATCGATTTTAAGCAGTCGTTATTCATATACCCACATACATACATATATTAACCTTCATATCAATTCTGGTCTATTAGGGTAGATGTCGCCCTATGCACTAGACTTTTTTATAGGAACTTTGCAAAACAAAGGTTTTATAGCTGCAAATGGTGTCTGGACGCACAACATTGCAAGTTGATAAAAGAGTTGTAAATAAGAATATAATATGGAACGATTCACGTCAACCCAATATTCTATTCCATGAAAATGGACTTGCGATATGTCAAAATACTTGTAAATTAATACCCTTTCAACTAAAACGTGGCGAATAAAAAAAAAAATAAAAATGGCGTCTTTACTGCACGGCTTTACAGACGCTCTTTTCGCAAAGAAGCGAATATACCTATTCGTTAATTTCTTTCTGGAAATAATAACCGAAAGCTAGATCATGACTTATTCTATAGTTTTCGCGGTCGCTGATTGCGAAGCTAAAATATCTTTTTTTTTATATATATAGAAAAATAACGATGCGTAAGTGGAGATTATCGATATCGTTGGCCTGAAACTTGGCTACACATAAAGAGTTGACGTCACTGTTGGCAGTTATAATTTTGTAGTAGTGAATAACTTCGTCTACCTAGGATCCAGCACAAACACCACCAACTACGTCAGCCTGGAGATAAGGCCAAGAGGTGCTATCTTGGGCTCTGTAGGCAAATGTTAAGCAGAGCTCTCTTTCTACAAACAAAAATTACGCTCTACAAGGACCTGTGCGCACTTGGAATGAACAACTGGCGATACCTCGCTAAGGAGAGCGGCAATTGGCGACGTTTTTTTTATCTCGGCCCAAACCGACAAAAGGTTGCTGTGCCGAAGAAGAAGAATTTCATATTTATTTCATACGCTAATACAAAAATTCATTAGGGAAATTTATCGATCAATTGAAAACTGGTGATTTGGTTAAGACACAATGCAGCAGCATTGCAGCATTGCTGGTTCTGAAGGGCTAAACCTTTTAATGGACGTGTGAAGAAAAATATACTTTTCATATATTAGATAAATGCGTTGCTCTTGAATGGGAGTAATTTCCTGCTGGGACAACAGTAGTGTGTTTATGTGAAAATTCTTAGCTATTCGTGAAAGTGAACTGTATGTAAAAATAAATGCTTCGAAATCTTTGATCAATTTCGCCTACTTTGAATGCCTTAATCTAAATAAATCAATCGGAGAATATTTAATTAAAGAATAACAGCAATAGCTAGTTGCACAGAAAAATTGCGAAAATTACACTGAATTTATAGGAAGGTATAGAGCAAAATGCGGCTTGTAGCTGCGGGAAGCCTTTGAAGGTCAACACATTTCTTCAGCTTCATCATTTCTGTAAACCGGCGGGGAAAATTGCAAAGTTCCAAACAACTAGATAACATATCGATTGCTGAGACGAAGATCGAGCTATATCGGCAGCCAGCTCGAAAACGCTATATCTCAAAAAACTTTTGAAGAACGCCCTACTTCAGAATTCGTTTCAAAAACGCGCTATATCAGCACATTTTCAATACATTTTGAAGTGAGATAGGGCGTTTTTGAACCGCATTCTGATATAGGTTGTTTTTCATTAAAATTTTGAAATAGGGCGTTCTTGAAAAGTTTTTTGAGATAGGTCGTTTCCGAACTGGTTGCCGAGATAGGTTTTCAAAGCAGTTTCTGTTAGAAACATGAACACAATTTGAAAGAACATCCTTGGCGAAAAAAAATCTCAAAAATCAACGGTAATTTTTCGCTACTTGAAACTTCCACTTTATTATACTAAAATTTAATGATATAATGCATATAAAACATTTTTCCGAAGAAGTCGAATTGAAAAATTAAAAATTTCGTACTTTTTCCTCGAGTTCTGTCTCAAATAAAAAAAGATATTCTTGTGGTTTTTGCTGTTGCATTGACTATTTTGTTTAATGAAATATTTTTGTCTAATATTTCATATACCTCCATACCAAGTTCCAGTACACATCCATGAACACTTTCAAAGATATGCAGGATGAAAAATTCGGTTTGTGTGTGCGATGCTACGCACCCTTTATAAATCGAAATGTATTTTTAGCCTATAGCCAACTTTGTAAAGACAACAGTAGGTGTACGAAAATTCAAGAAAATCGGTAAAGGCGTTCTCGTGCAATGCGAACAGCAAAAAATAAATAAAATTGTCAAGACATCACAGAACATTCATATTTTTGACTGTTTTGACATGACATTCACAATTATTTTCATGAAAAGTTAGATGTAGAACTTTTATTTATTTTTTTCGCGGTAGACTTTTCGCAGCAATCGCCCATACTTATTCACAATTATTTTCATGAAAAATCTTTGGCATTAATTATTTATTAGTTTATTAGTTAATTCTATAATATAAACCATATAAATCAAAGTTAAACGTTTTGTATAAGGTTCACAAAAATTCAAAACGTTTTCATCAAAATTTTCAACTTTTTATTCAGAGTTTTCGAGTATGCAGTTTTGTAGCCCATTCAATTTTAGGCCAATGAAGTGCAAGTTTCAACCGGCTAAAGTTGATTTTTGAGAACTATTTTTTGGATACTGATTTTTGTGTTTTTTTTTTATACAACAAGTGCAGTTTATGAAAACTGGCGTTGATTTTATGAAAGTTTGTTGCTAAATCCGATAGTGCAAAAATCGGACAAAAAAAAATTCTCAAAAATCAACGGAATTTTTCAGCCGTTTAAAACTTTTACTTCATTGGACTGAAATTGAATGGGCTAAAAAAAACTGCATACTCGAAAATTTTCTAGAAAATCTGAAAGTTGAAAATGTTGACGAAATTTTTTTGAGTTCTTGTGAGCTTTATATAAAGTGTGAAACTTTGATTTATATGGTAAAATGAACCATATTTTCATAAATAACTAATTAATGCAAAAAATGTTTCATAAACATAATTGTGAATGTGTGTTATATTAGAATAAGGTGTTTCATCTGTCGCCATGTGTGTATATTCGCAAAGTTCCGCATCGTTTTTTATTTCTAATTTAGTTATCGGTACTGGACAAAATTAAATATTTTCTTTCACGTTTCACAAGTTCAATTAAAGCTAAACTTCAATTGCGTGCAACTAATGGAAGCCACTTCCTTAAAACTCCGTTACAACTGATTAGTTTACGGCTTCTTTTTTTCACCATATATATATTTTTTGCTTTGCAATTCGGTTCCACTTCAATTCCGCTTGCAAGCAGACATTTTAATTAGATACTTATACATACCAATATGAGTGTGTATGTGTGTACAATACATATATGTATGAAGATAGCTGAACTGCATGCAATCTCATCAACACTTACCTTGCCTTGCATTATCAGCCTGATTGTTAATGTGACTGATTCGTCGGTCTTCATTGGCGTACTTGTGTTATTGTCTTCCATATTTGCTGCGGCTGTTGCTGCTGCTGCTGCTGGTGTTGGTGTTGTTGCCGTCGTAATTGAAGCTATTTTTGCTGCTGCTGCTGTTGTTATTTTAGTGGTTATTGGTTTCCTTGTTGCTGCTGCGGTGTGCTTGCGGTTGTAATGTTGCTAGCTTATTTTTCACCTTTTTTTTCTATTTTATATATGTATTATTTTTCTCAATACGCTATAAATTTCACTTCGACAACACTCACACTTATATAGAACACTTACACTGGTGTACTAAATGTAGTAGCTGTGGAAGGGGTACGGTACACGGTGTATGATAGCGACCAACGATTTGATTTGCGAGTAGCGCGTGTGGTTGAGATTTCCGTTTATTGTTTTTTTTTTGTCGAGTCGACAATTGCTTGAAATCTGCTTTGGCTGCCGCTTTTACTTGATTTCTTGTATTTTAATGAACTCTTCAATGATGCTGGTTATTTTATTTTTTTCTTTAATTTATTTTCTTTCTCTTCTTCAATGATCTGTCTGCAGCTGTTTAATGTAAATACCTAGAATTTGTTTTTTTTTTACTTATTTTTTTTTCTTCTTGACTTGCTTTATATTCCGCTACGTGTGGAAGTGTTTGTATCGCTGGCTGATTAGAACAACATTAAAATAAAAAATAAGTTAATTAGTTAATGAATTAATTAATTGGTGGTGTCTTTTATCGTTTACTTAAGCTCATTTGCATTGCATGTAACTGTATGCGCGTGTGCTTGTGTGTGTGTGTGCGTGTGTGCCTGCTTGCATTTAAGTTCTGCTGAGTTGGCTGTTTACTTAAGAAATTTTACAAATTAACAACGTTTTTGCATTTGCTTCAACTTTGAATAACGCGAATATTTTTATTTATTTATTGTTAAAAAATGCACATTAATCACTTTGTTTACCGCACTTCATCGATATTTTACTACGCTATTGTTTTTTTTACAATTTTATTTTTATTTTTTAATGCTCGATTGGTTAGTCGATTGCTTGCCTGTCCGAGCGCAATAAAAATGGGCAAAAAAAGCAGCGAGAAAAAAGTTGAAAAACCAAACGTTTGGCTCGTTGGCTTTCGACTGGTGTTATCAGCAGTGGTTAATCATTAAGCGCAGTAATTTACTTTTTTTCTTGTTTGTTTATTGTACTTCAACTTGATGCAGCCGTCGCTTTTATTGACCTCGACACGCTGAGTTCACTTGCGGGCTGCTAATATTTCTGTATGCTGCTGCTTGCATCCGCGCAGGAAAAAACTAACAAAATTTTGTGCAAAATACTGTGTTGTATTGCCTCTGCAACCGAGTATATATTGAGTTTTGCGGTTGAATACGCTGCTGACGTCGAGGAAATTCTTCACAAATAATAGCCTGCAACAAAGAAATGGCAGAAGAGAAGACAACACAAAGAGTCATTAGTGATAATTAATTGCTAATAAAACATAGAAATAGCACATACATAGAAAAATATATATGTATAAATACATGTTTACAACAGTAAAAATACTGTCAAATGTCAACTATGAACAGATTAATTTTGTGTTACAAAAACAAAAAATAAACCTACAAATTTGCAAGCGACAAGCATTAAAGTGCAACCAACAAGGGTAAGAGTTCGCTTGCAATTTGGCGCTCTAACGACTTGATTTCGTTTTTTTTTTCGTTTTTGTAATTTTGTGAAATGCTTTCTGCCGCTGTTCCGCCGTTGTTGGCACATAATTAATTTAGGCAACGATAACGTATGTATGTTCTAGACAACATTGCTGCTTTTGTAGTTAGTCTAGCAAGGAAATGGCTGATTTGCCTTCGTTTTGCGACTGCTTCCGGCATAACAAAGATCACACTTTGTACTGAAAGATTTAACCGAAATTGATGGCGAGGCAAGAAAAAAAAGAACCAACTGACGAAGAACAAAATTTCGGTGGAAAATATTAATTTTTTCGAATATACATACAGTGAACAACATAAGTCTACCTACAGAAACTTTTTTTAAATTAGCAAAATTGTACATGCTACAACAAAAAGCACAACATACTACAAAAAAAAAACATATAAATTAACTATGCAAAATTTGTGTAAAACTCAGAAAGTTTCAAAATTTGCATAACAGTTTTCTACTTTTGAATAAGATTTTTGATTATGCACTTTTGTAGCCTACTAAATTTTAATATAGTAAAATGAAAGTTAAAAGTTGCTAAAATTCTCGTTGATTTTTGATAATTGCTTTTGCTGGCGGTGTAATGCTTTTTCTTCCATATAAAAAAATGTTCGAGCGAATTTCGTATGGAAGGAAATAAATGACATCGTCAGCAAAAACAAAAAAAAAAAAATATTCAAAATTGAAAGCTTTTTTTACAAACCTCAAACTTGCGCTTTACTATACTCTAATTTAATAGCTAGAAAACAGTATATGTCGAAAGACCTGAGTCGTAAAGTATTTTTGCAAGACAATTTCGAAGAAAAGCAATTTTTTTTTGTCGACCCACCTTTTTGGATTTTTCGGTGACACCTACATTCGGCAATATAAATTTTTTTTTTTTAAATAGTTCAGCTGGAACAATCACAATACTTCCATAGCAACCGTTTAATGATTTTTGGTGTGCTTTAATATACTGACATTAGTGTGGCACGTTAGGCCGATAAGAACTGTGATCTGGTGGGTAAGTACCAGAACGGGATACTTGAGGTCAATGATCTTTGGCCTTCTGCCTACTAGCCTTGTCCAATGTTTTACATGATTCCAAAACTCTTAAGTCTTTCTAAAATTGGTCCTACCGCAAAGCTCTTTCATGTATAAGGGTGTCTTTGCTTTCATTGGCTGTTCTTACTAGTCGAGTTACATCAACTTTTCACTAAGCCATTGAAAAGCCTATAACAGCGCTATAAGTAGATCTTTCTTGCGTAGAATAGTTATTTTTAAAGCCGTATCTATTTCCATATCTTTCATCTTTATCTGCCAAATAAGAGGACGAGCTTAAAGCCTCATTCTGTTACAAAAGGTTCGGAGAGGGGAATCTACCAAGTTGTATGTGTTACTTCTCCCAAGGCTATTAGAAACGGTAGTGACATTGAACAGAGAGAAATGGAGCTAAGGCCTACCGATGACAGAAGATCCTATATGTGTCCATCTACACAGATGGTCCAAAGATAGAGCAAGAAACCAGTTTCGCTTTCTATTCCGAGAAACTCAGTCAGCATTTTCGTTAGCCAAGCGATTGCAGCGTTTTTCAATCTGAAATTTAAGCTATAGGCAGGCAGACAACTCTATACAACAACAACCATTTAGTGAAAATCTTAGAAAATTAGTTGAATACCCAGTAGCTGTCACAAACGACACATGGACCAAAGGAAATGGGAAAGCGACAGAAGGCCTTCTGAAATTCACTACACTTTAAGCCTGTAGGGCTGAGGTAACCGTCGGATTGATGATTATTGCTTAAACAACTGGCCACTAGCAGTAGACCGACCCATACTATCTTAAGGGGTGCTCGTTTCGTGGCCAGCACTAACTGAGGATTACATCGTCAAAAAAAAAAAACCTAGCGGACTACAGTGGTCGGATTCTCTTGGCGCGATGGGGCATCTCATTGCACCATACACCCTCGAGGTCGTAGCTGAATAATTTCTCAGATAGATAGGGGCCAAATAAGGCACTTTCTTCTTTCTCGGTTAGGATGCAATTTGTGGAGGACTGTAAGAGATTTGGCCCAAATTTCCGAGCGATTGGACACTACCCTAATGCGGGTCCCAAAGTAGGGAAATCGAAGCAGAATTTTTGAAATTGACCATCCGAAAGCTAAGCTAAGATGACTACCAGGCAAATCTAGAATACCTACACCCACTTAGAAACAGGGTTATGTTAGGGATTGGCAACGAGAACATTTATACTCATCCGTCGGTGTGCATTGTAAAAACTAGTCGCGGACTTTGAATTCACGGAAAGCAAGTTGAAATAATGGGCCTCATGCATATATGTAAGTGAGCCTAAGCTCAGACTCATCAAGCTCAAGAATTTGTACTTAAAATCGAGTATACAAAAAACAGAAAAAAGAAGAAAACCCGAAATTCAGGAAATATATATTAAGCAATTGCTTCCAAGCATTCTCTAAGAAAAAGTTATAACCAATATCAGGCCTTAAAAATTTTCGCATCTGTCAATGTGAAATGGAATGGCGAAATTTCCTTTAGAAAAGAGGTGCATACATTAAATTCCTGCGGCCAATACAAAAAAAGGCGCAAGCTATTTTTTCTATTCAAAAGAAAAATTTTTAAAAAATCGCGCGGCGTTTGCATTCTCACTTCCTGGCGTTAATGCATTGCTTCAAGTACAAGTACTCACACTGTACTTTTCTATGAATAGATTAAAGGAATGTGCGCGAAAGTTAGCACACAAAAAAGTACTATGACAAAGTGAATGCAAAACGAAAGCAGTGACATGAAAAAATAAACTTAAACGAATAGGAAATGCAGTGGAATAAAAAAATGCAAGCAAAATAAAGCAAAAAAAAAATATTAATTATAAAAAATAAGCAAAATCACCAACCCAGGAAAAAAGCAAGTGTAGACATCAAAAAGAAATTAAAATTTTAACAGAGTAAAGGAATTTCAGTCTGTAAATTCAAATAAAATTAACGCAGTGCATTAAGGACTTTTTACACATTTGCGCGATTTTTGTTTCTTCTTTGTTTGTTTGATTTTTTTCTCGCTCGTTTGTGTTCGACGAGGTGAAATCTCAGATGCGCATTGAGTTGTATGTTTACCATTAAAAAATGCATTTCGCTTGCAAACAAGTATTGCATCGACGACGGTGTATTTTTTCGTACTACAAACAAATAACTTTGGGAGACGACACAGGCAAATATCCGTATATTTGAATGTGCATTAGGGTGAATCACCACTCTCTATAAAATATCACTAGTGTTCTTCCATCGTAACTTTTTAAATTTAATTTTTATTTTAAGACCTGCTGCAAAATATTTTGGAAAAATATAAACATTTACGTGAGCTGGACCCATTTTAAAATTTTTTTAAATAAATTTTCTGTGTTTAAATCTTAATATCCTTACGAAATATTTAGGCGGAAGTCAAAAAATATTATAAATTTTATCATTCCGGTGGGAAACCCGCGCAACTTTTTTTGGTGAGGCACCCTAATGTGCATATAAAAATAGATGTGCAGAAAAATCCAGCGGCTTATAGATATTTGCGCAGAATATCGTAGACACATGTGTATAAATATGTATATAGTACATATGTACATAAATTCGTTTCAGACACTTTTTCAACAAACTTTTTATTTGCACGCCAAAAAAAAAACGGTAGACATATTTTCGTAATAAGATCCCCCTCTCCACAAAACAAAAAAAAAAAAACTCACGCACATCTGTTTATTTACACGCAATATAATGAGCAAAAATGCATCATTTTCGCATTGCAATCCGCGGTTAAGTGGCTGCAGAGCAAAAAAAAAACGATAATCTCGAAAAAATGGAAGTATTTTTCTTCGCTGCACTGCACTATACAAAAAACTGTTGATATACACATACAGTTCCGAACAGAAGTATTGGCACAGTGAATTTTTCGCAATATATGCAAAGTTTTTTGTTCTCATTTATTTTCGATAATTTTTTATAAAAATATTGTTCATTATACACTAGAAAACATAAAAATAAAATCTCTAAACTTTGTGCTAAACTCAGGAAAATTCATTAAATTTGCACACTACACTAATTTGTAACTTTTTATTCGAATTTTTTAGAAAAATTCTAAGTATGCAGTTTTATAGCCCAAATTTAGTATAACAAAGTGCAAGTTTGAAGTCGCTAGAAAATCGCATTGATTTTTGGTAATTTTTTTCACGCAAGTTCTTCCATACAAAGTACATTCGACAATTATTTTTTGTATGGAGAAAATGAGCAACACCTTCCGGTAAAAAATTGCTAAAATTGAATGGACTATAAAACTGTATACTTAGAATTTTTCTAAAAAATCCGAATAAAAAGTTGCAAATTAGTGTGCAAATTTAATGAATTCATTAAATTAAATTAAATTAAAGTGATTTTATTTTTATATTTTTTGGTGTAAAATGAACTATATTCTTATAGAAAATTATCGAAAATCAATCAGAATAAAAAACTTTGCATATATTGCGAAAAATTCACTCTGCCAAAACTTTTGTTCGTCACTGTATGTAATTTCATTGCCGCCGTACTTTACAGCATTACCACTGTATATTCATTATTATTATCAATAATTGAAGAGCCGTCGTCCCTGTTTGTTGTTATTGCTGTTTTTATGTAAAATCATACAACTTGCAACGATAAGTAGCAGCGGCAAATTAAATCACAAATATGTAGCATCGACTTAATGCA